AGTCAGACCCCTGACCCACTATTTCTGAGTATCTCAATTTTATACAGGCTAAATACCAATTATATAACTTTTAGGGTTAGGGAATTTTGAAAAATAATACATGGTGCTGACAAGCTTTTGACACAAGATGCTGATGCTTGCAGAACACAGTGCAGCAATGTGAATAACCTCATATGAGGTTAGCAGAATTGATAAAACTATTCCTAGTAAGAACTCCAGAAAGAGTGATTTTGACCGAATCAATACTTTTGCTCACTCAGGCATATGTTCAACAGTTCTTAATTCAAAGTTATAGCAAATGGAAAGTGTTACACAGCTGTGAAATCCTAATGTAGTAGGAATTATAATTGTAAAACAATATTTTTTCTGCAGAAATTGTGCTTTCATATTTTTAAACCTTCCCTTTTACTACTCCCTGTAACTACTTTTTGATCTTGTGTTCTTGCACTTAATTTTCTCCAATATTCAAAACCTGTTCATTATTATTATTTCTAGATAATGCTATTTTAATACTATTGAAATAGGTACAAGATTTAATACTCATTTCACAGATACAAGATGTTGTATAAAGTCAACTTTTCTAGCCTCACTACCATCAAGTAAAGCGATTCCCTAGAAGGTGTTCATAAATGACTACACATGTATATAGCAGCACATAGTTTGAAACAAAGTTATATACATTATAGACCTGACAAAAACATTAGTAGGAATCCTTTGTGGAGTATGATGGTGGGAATGGGATGTCCTATCTCAAAGTGCTGGAGCAGCCACACTATCTGGAAGACTCCGAGAATATGAGGCTTTCTCAGGTTGCCTTTGTATAGAGAGACTTCATTGGCAGTCCCAGCAGGCATTTTGTCCCTGTCCACAGCTGGAAAAAGCCTTCAAAGCAGTTGCCCTAATATTCTCAGAAATTGCAGCTGTTTCAAAATTTTGAAGAGGCATATTTTGTCTTTTCAAATGCTCTGCACAACCCATTTGTATTTTTGTAGTTACTACTTTATATTTTAACCATGAGAAGAATGGAAACATGATGAAAGTTGTTGATTATTTCATTCTGAGCAAAACAAATTGATATGGTTAGTTTGTTACTGCTGGCAAAGAATAACAGATAACAGATAATCAGAGTTGGAAGGGACCTTGTAGGTCATCTAGTCCAATCCCCCACCCAAGTGAGAGATCCTACACCATTGGCAGTCCAATCTCTTCTTGAAAGTCTCAAGTGATGGCGCTCCCACAACTTCTGAGGGCAAGGTGTTCCGTTGGTTGATTGTTCTCATTGTCAGAAAGTTTCTCCTTATTTTCAGGTTAAATCTCTCCTTGTTCAGTTTCCATCCATTATTCCTTGTCTGGCCTACAGGTGCTTTAGAAAATAGTTTGACCCCTTCCTCTCTATGGCAGCCCCTCAAATATTGGAAGACTGCTATCATGTCTCCCCTGGTCCTTCTCATTACTAGACTAGCCAAGCCCAGTTCCTGCAACCAAACGTTGTATGTTTTAGTCTCCAGTCCCATAATCATCCTGGTTGCTCTTCTCTGTACTTTTTCTAGAGTCTCAACATCTTTTTTATAATGTGGTGACCAAAACTGGATGCAGTACTCTAGGTGTAGTCTTACTAAGGCTTTATAGAGTGGCATTAGTACGTCCCTTGATCTTGATTGTATCCCTCTGTTAATACAATTTAGGATTGCATTAGCTTTTTTGGCTCTGCTGCACACTGCTGACTCATATTTAGCTGATTGTCCACTAAGACTCCATGATCCCTCTCACAGTTACTGCTATTGAGCCTGGTTTCACCCAGTCTATATGTGTACTTTTGGTTTTTCTTGCCTAAGTGTAGGACTATACTTTTCTCTACATTGAATTTTGTTTTGTTAGATATGGTCCAGTGTTCTAGTCTGTCAAGATCCATCTGGATCTTGAGCCTATCTTCTTGGGTGTTAGCTATTCCTGCCAGCTTAGTATCATCTGCAAATTTGGTAAGATCCCCTTCTATTCCCTCATCTCGGTCGTTAATGAAGATATTGAAGAGTACTGGCCTAAGACGGAACCTTGTGGCACCCCACTGCTTACTTCCCTTCATGTAGACTTAGACCCATTAAGGACTACTCACTGAGTATGGTTTGCCAGCCAGTTGCGAGTCCATCTAGTGGTGGTGCTATCTATTCCACTTTTTTCTCGCTTACTAAGAAGTAGGTTGTGGTCTACTTTGTTGAATGCCTTGCTGAAATCTAAATATATTATGTCCACAGTATTTTGCTGGTCTACTAATTTAGTCACTGTGTTGAAGAATGAAATAAGATTGGTTTGGCATGATCTGTTTTTAACAAACCCGTGCTGACTGCTAGTTATTGTTGTTTCTAGATGTTGGCAGGTCTGTTTTTTTATTATCTTTTCCAGTATCTTCCTGGGTATTGATGTTAGGCTGATTGTTCTATAGTTTCCTGGATCTGTTTTTTTTTCCTTTTTTGAAGATGAGAACCACATCAGCTCTTTTCCAGCCCTCTAGTAGTTCCTCGGTGTTCCAGGATTTTTGAAAGATATGGTGCAGTGGTTCTGAGATGACCTCTGCCAGCTCCTTTAAAACTGAGTAGTATGCTAGCTTCAAAACTTGATGCATGGCTTAAAAACACATCACAAATACTGAAGTTCAAGGATTTTAGGTTTATTTATCTCCAAGTATATTTCACTAAATCCTTATCAAAAGAATAGAAGACTGTAACCACCCGTAGTAGTTCTATAACGCCTAGTGCCCTTTACAATGACTATGGCTGGAGAAGGTGGGAGTTGTGGTTCACCAATCTGTGGTGGTTCACAAGTTTTCCATCCTTGCCTTAAAAGAGAACTTAGAATTTTCTTTGTTTTAAAAGATTTGCATGGCTATCCATCTTAAAACAAGTCTGGGTGGTTTTCAACAATAAAATTAAAACTATAAAAACATTAAAAAAACTAAACATCTGTAATCTTAACCAACCTCTCAGGATGCACCAACAAATCTCTGCAGATTCCACTATTCTACCTCAGTGCCTTCATTCTTTTTTTTTTTTTTTTTTTACTGAGGGCCAATTAAGATATTAGCATACCATCTGCAACTTGATACAATGCATCCATGTGATGGTACATTTCACTTTTGGGACTAATATTTGTAAATTTACTCAGCTCTTTACTAGATGTTGCTCTAATCCTGTGTAAATGTTCTATGTCAAGGGGTTGCTAGCATTGATCAATCTGACTGGTATGGCTCATAATATAATAACTTCCAAGTCTGAATATTGAACATAGAAGTATTTCAGTATCTTCCAGAAGAGGGCAGAAAATATCTTTCAATTATTTCCTTTTTACAAAGTTATAAATAAGGTATATAGACAATTTAAATTAGAATTTATCAAATATGTTTAAAAACAAAAGTGATAGAAAAATGCTATCTGTATGCTAATCACAAAAAAAATTGAATAGAATTTAACTTCATTTTTTATTCCCTCTGTTTCAGATTTCTGACAGGAAATTCAGATAAAATTATCTACAATCCCAACCACCTCCAACTGGGGCTGTTTTTTATTTCTGAACTTAGCTCTTTAACAACTATTCACATAAATACCCATAGACATCAAATTGAGTTTGTTATTTGTTTCAGACAAATAAGAGAATATTGAAATACTGTACACATTTACTCAGAATATTTATTTATTATAAATGGACAGTTCTATCATAAAAGTGCAAAACAAAATCCAAGGGAGATATAATGGTGCTATCCCCAATTTTGTATTAAAAATACTACTATGCATTTTTGAATTATCTTTCTTTAGTTCCCTTATATATTTTCACCCCAGTGAAGTTATTTTGGTGTTTTCTTTCCACTTTTTCTCAATAAATGTATCAGAAGCAAAATGTATTAGTATGATAAGCTTGCATATCATTGTACATGGAAGAGTGTTTTTACTATGTAATCAAATGCTGATTTGAAGAAAGGAAGCAATAGAAGTTTCAGATCTATGTGTCTCATTATAATTATGGAGGAAGAGTACCAACATGTCTATTGTATAGTTATCAGCTGAGTAAATTTAAACTGAAATCAGTATCAAGATAGTAGTACAGTTCACAAGGTGATTCAGAAATAAACAATGCAGTCTAACAATCTAAAGAGTACAGAAGTAAAAGAAAGTAATATGTGCTTTTTGTAACTTGAGTTTATATGAAGAATATGGATAATAAAACATGGGATAATAATAGGGAGAAAAATGGAAGGTATACTGTGATATGATTCAGAAATAACAATGAGAGACATAATATAATATTGTATTCAACTTGGAATGTATACCAAGTTTTCAATAATCACAGTTTTTCTATAGCCGCTATTGCTTTTTCCAGTCACTTTATGATATATAAAAAGGATAGTTGAGAGGGTTTCAGAGATTAGTTATGAATAACTAATCAAACAACGAACATTCAAAGGTTATATATTACATTTATCATTTTGATTCATTCCCCCCCCCCCCCAGAAATCATATAGTATTACCTGATCAAACTTTATCCTTTCAACAACAACAATAATGGCAAGACAAACTTCCAAGGGAATTAATCTGAGAGATAGCATTAGCTTCTAGACTTTTGGTAAATTTCTACAACTGAGTGTTGACTAGGACTTAGATTTTTTGGGGGGTACTAAACTAATTCCCTAATCATTATACACTACATAGGACTGAATCTTAAAGTGGCTGGCAATGAGCTCCACTACTACAAGAAAAAGTATAAGTACATTTCCTTTTGCCATGAATATAATTTAGCTACATAGAAAAAAAATTAGAGCATTGTCTCTTAAGCAGTGTATTTATGTTATTTCATTTTAAAAATCCAGTCCTTTTCCTCTCTGTATAAAGAACACATCATTTTAGAAATAGCACTGTTGATTACTTCTTTGGTTTTGCATGACTAAGAGCACAGTGGACTGACATGAAATTATTCAACAGATCATGTGTGATTTCTTGAAAGATGTGACTTACCTATGAAATAGGCCAACAGTATAGCAAGCAAGATTGCAGCAGCAATAGCTGATAAAGCAGCACACTTCCAGCTACAATATTTAGAGGGCTTTTTCAGCTTGAATGCATTTCTGGAGAAAGTATTTCTAGGTAACAGTCGGGGAGGTGGTGTGTAAACTGTTCCTGAGGTCAATGGGTATCCAGGGGAAGAACTACTGAAGAGAGGAGTTGTTCCAGATGATGTCTTGAACAAAAAATGCCTGAAAGAAAGATAAATAGATGATGTTTAACAGATGTAATGCAGCCAAATAATTCATCTATTTTGAAATACAAAGTAAAGTAATAACACACATGACAAGGAAAGCAAGCTTCTGTTTGCTCAACATTAAATTTTAATTGTAGAGTTATGTGCTGACAATACTTCTCTTTTGTACATCTTGCTCAGGCAAAACAAACAAACCATATTACCATCAGTTATGATTAAACCATAATGGATGCTTCCCGTGTCACATTATCCCAAAAGGAACATGTGATCTAATGATTAAGCATTATATGAAAACCATGCCAATGAACTGAATGAACTAGCAAAAACCAAGTTGTTTTATAGTGATTTGATTATAATTTAAGGGTCTTGATTAATGATTAATCTTACTATTAATACTTTATTCAAATGCCAGCTCATACAGAAGAGTCATGACTTGAAACACACTCAGGCCTTCAACTCTTAAATTTCCCAAGGAAAAAGACAGTAATATAAATAGCAACTGAAAACACATAATGTGCTGTATATGCTTATGAAATTCATACTTGTGGAACAAATAGTAATGTAAAAAGTTCCTCTCTGTCACATGAGACAATGGAAGCCTGGTTGTTTTTTTAAATACAATTCAGGATATTTGAAGCTCAATCTACCATTTTTAATTATACCCACAAGGCTAATGGAAGCCTTATAAACCTTAATACAAACAAGTTCAGACTCTGGAAAACCGGCAATGTCTTATTAATGGTCCATCCAACTAGAAAACCATAGAATTTTGCACTACTTTCAAGACAGTGTGGCTCAGAACCAACAAGCTATGTACAGAACATTAAAGAAATTAAAATGTAATGTTATAAAAGCTTAAATTATATTTCAAAGGTGAAAAGACTTTTCTGCATAATAAAAATCTATTAGCAATGTAATAGGAATAGTGATGATGAGGATGTGGATAACAATGATGGTGGGGTAACTGTGATGGCGTGGTGTGTGTGTGTGTGAGGAGGGGGGGAGGGAGAGAGGGAGGGAGGGAGGGAG